ACACACACACACACACACACACACACACACACACACACACACACACACGTCTTGGTGTATGGGCGCACTGTTGTGAGAGATAACTCTGCCATGCCTGTCTCACAAAACTGCTTACTGTAAGAGGATTGGCTGCCAACAATACCATTTTTAATTCATGATAAACATAAATGAGATTTCCCAAACTCTCAATTTCAACGTCTGACTCTTAATGGAATGCCTTGTAGGCAGACAGTGTCTGGGGGGGGGGGGGGGGGGGGTGAACACGGCACATGTGTCCTCCAGAAAACAGACTCTTCACTTGGTGCGTTCTTTTGTGTCATGCTCAAATCAACAGAGCGGCATCAGGAGAGATTTAGCTCAAACTGTCGGCAGAGCAGTGTATTAAAAACAATGTGCTCTTCCTTTACGGTCGTCTTACACAAACTCTCACACAAGTGACGCAGTTTGTTTGAATGAACGTGATAGTATTTCGATGCTGTAGGGCGACTACATGAACGGCATTATACGTTTTCATGTGCGTGTGTGAGACAATGGAGTGCGTTAGCGTGTGTGCGGCAATGAGTTTATCTCGCCAGCCTAACAGGATGATCCTCCCTTCCTCGTTGCCTCTGGTCAGCCACATTGTGGGTAAGGAGGAGACAAGAGCTCGCTGTGCCAGGATGCCCCAGGGCCAGGTCAATCTGAGCAGCTCACTAAAACCTGTACAGCTGTACGCAACGCTGGGCAAAGCTCATCCATAATTAAAGACAAAAGCTCCCGCTCAGAGTAGCCGGGGCGCACAGCTCTGCATTAATTTATGTTTGTTAAAAAAAAATTAAAAAAAAGTGAGTGCAGAATGTAATGTATGTAATGGCTGCCTCGGGCATAGTTTATTATTAAGGACCCCACTTCATGACAGGCTAGCAAAGCAGCATGGAGAGGCAGTTACATAAAGTCTGGATACAAACTCCTACTGAGTCTGTGTGTGTTTATACATGCCTGTCTGCATGTGGTAGAGAAAGAGTGGGAGAGAAAGGAGGGCAGAAGGAAAGGAAAACTGAGGCAGAAGTAGCGACACAGAAGCACAGATGAATATTGAACCATCTGTAGAAGGAGGCAGAGGATTGAGCAGAGGAACAGCATATGTAGAGGGTTTTATGTTGGGAATAATGCAGAGTTTCTGTCATCACACTCACCCGCTCTCCAGACCGCGGCCTCTTCTTTGGCCGCGTAGGCAAGGCGTCCTCTTTTGGGTTGGTGTCGATGGCCCAGTAAGAGCCCTGCGGACAGAAGAAAGACCTGTGAGCTGATAAAACATTACATATTGCTCTTTCACATGACATCCCTGTGACGTTTGCGTCGGACAGCACACAAGCTTCACATCTCTCTCTATTTGGTACACCGTTATTTAACAATCAGGGGCCTCATCTGCTCTGCTAATGCCCGTCCTATCAGCCCGAGTCTTTAGTTGAGTTGATAGCTGTGAGTTTGTGCAGCGTGTGGGTGGGCTTTGTTAGTAAGAAAAGGCTTGGCTTTTCCTCCTCTGCGGCTGCTTCTCAATGAGAGGCTGCTGAGGGCAGCTGGTGGTGAAAATGCTAAGCCTTTCCTGAAGCTGTACTTCCTCAGCCTCAGGTACTGAATCAGAGTGCTGTTGCCAAGGATGAAGGCTCCGCAGTCTCAGCCCAGGAGTCGAGGCAGCGCTCGCCCTGCCGTGTTGCTTTCTTGTTAAGGTCTGAGCAAGGCTAATCAAGGAGAGAGCAGTTGGGCTGGCTCTGGGGCTGCAGCTAGCAATCCCACATCCAAGCTGCATTATTTATCTTTGCATTCGGCCCCATTTAATTTATTTTCCAATGGTTTTCTTCCTCGAAGCAAACAGGAACGCCGCACACAGTACAGACTTTATACCCGAGGGCCCTGCAAGTTCAGAATTTATTTTTAATATTTCATATGACCCTCGATAAAATCTCAATTGTCCAGAGGAAGTGAGATCAGGACCTTTAAAATTACTTCCTTAGCAGAGAGAATAATTGTTATTTCCAGGAGAGGCCGTAGAACAAGCTGTACCTCAAGTATCTGTACAGTAACCGCTACATAATGGCCCGCTCTTGTTATTTTCACAGCTCGCATGCACCACTGCTGCGATTGTTAAAATGAAAAAGCCGTGGTTGGCCTATATTTGTCAGGGGGTTAAAATAAGTATAAATATGTGAGAGGCTTTGGGGTCAATTAACATTCTCCTCAGAGGGAAGAATAATTCACAGCACAATCAACCAAAGATGAAGAAACATCTCGTGGTGATGCAGACACCTCATTACCCCAGCTCGTGTTTTTACAAGAAGCTTCACTGTAAAGGTGAGAAAAGATGTCTCTACATGTGGTTCTCCTCTGTGTTGAGGTGCAGGGGCTAGATGCAGATGTTTCTAAATTAGGGGTCACAAAAACAAAGCCACGCTTGGTGACGTTTCGTTTAATTAGAGGGGGGGGGGGGGGGAAAACCCCCCCCGGGGGGGGGGGGTGTTGGTTTTTCCCCTTCCCCCCCCCAAAAGAGTGGGGGGGGAAAAAAAAAAAAAAAAAAAAAAAAGAGAAACATATAGTCATTAAATTATTCACAAATACACTGCAACACACTGTAGCAATGCAAAGAGAAGTGTGCCCGTGGAGTCTGGGGCGAAGCCACAATATCCTCTGCAGCCACAAAACAAAGGCTGCTGGAAAAAACAGATCCTGGTAACAGATGTACTCTACCTGCTCTCTACCCGTAAATGGCGCAGCTCATTTTCATACATCAACATGCATTTTGGCATCTAGTTCCCCCTTTTTTTGTGTAAATATAGGAAGGACAAACACAACAAGTACACTGGTTATCCCGGCAACTCCAGACGGAGATATAAGAGCAATTAAAATGGGGATTATTAACGGTAGCCTTCACAGGCTGCGTTTCTACTTCCGAGGTAGACAGTGTGTGTGTATGTACAATACCAACTGTCATCTCTTACACCATCTCAGAGAGAGAGAGTCAGACAGAGAGCGACATGACTCTCCTATCTCACCCGACCAGCAGTTTTCATATTCCTGCCACATTACAATATTGATGCAACATATCAAGAGCGGCTAGCGCCTCTTTGAAGTTGTCTTCGGGGGGGGAAGGGAGTGAGGAAAATTCCAAATTAAACATTAAGGATGCGAGCATGTTGGCCATGCATTTGGAATGGGATCCATACAGCAATAGATTATTTTGTATTTAGTGGAGCAGCTCCCAGGAGTGTCAATATCAGAGGATTACAGCAAAACATGAAATTAGCATTCAGTCCCCATCCTCTACACAGCTAGGCGTAGCTCTTCATGCATGTGTCGGTGTGTACGTGTGTGTGTTTGTGTGTAATTATTTGTGCGGTTCCCTAAGCATATGTAGCGTATGCTCCGACAGTCCTGGGATGAAATCTGGGTTAGGCTACATATGGTTAGACCTGTGCATGCATCAGACTAGATATAGGCCCATAGGCTCCTTCTTCATGAACTCCTCAGTGGATCAGGGGACACTACTTATCGGAGCAGATTGTGAAGTCAATCGGGCTGATAAAAGCAACTGTAGGTGGTACGACTGAGACTCTAAAGTCAAATGAACATGTTGGACTAAACATCCTCTGACAGAGTATAAAAATGGAGGCTGAGTAGAGAGCAAATGAAGTCAGATGTTTGTCCTGAATAGGTTCCGGTTCACCTCGAGTAAATACTTTTAAAGATTCTCGAACTGACCTGAGGTCTCATTTATAACCTACAAAACAGGGCCGGAGTTATGAAATCTATAGAAACAAACGTGATGGGAGTGTAACTGGTTGAATGTGGGCGTGAGGAGGGTGGGACAGGAGGCTCGTTAAAACATTTCCAGGTGGACTGAGATGTACAAAGGTAACATCTCCTGCAGGCGTGCGTATGCACGGTTTGATAAGTCTGTGATTTTTTTGCTGCACACCGTTTTTCCTCTTTTGTGCATACTTAGGATGGGACGACACTGGATGTTATTGCGATATAAACGCATTTAGTTGGTCGTGGTGAAATTCCATTGTCGGGATAATAGTGAATACACCCTCACAAGTGACTCGGGAAAGACGTTTAGCTCGCTATGAAGGTAGAGAAGTGAGAACTAGAGCCTGATTTAAAAAACAATAAAAATACAGGAATCATGTAAAATAACAGATTCACACAATGTTACTACTTTTAAATGTGATTATTATTTTTTTTTTTTTATGAAGGGGAACCTTATGATTCATGGTTAACATATTCAAGATTGACTGTCTTTCACTTAAAACAATGTTCACCAAAAAGAAAAAATGTGATGTAATAAAATATTGTATGTTTTAGTGCTATTTTAACAGTTCTAAGCATGTTTTGAAGATTATCAGGATAATATGAATTATTTTGGCCGGGATGATCATGACATGAAATGTTCATCCCATGCGTAGTGTGCACATACAACAGAGCATGGATTCCTCGCACTGTTTTAAAAATGAGAGCCCTGACTCCTGCCGTGCTACGGCTGAATCTCCACCAGTCTTTTACTTTTTTCCCCCCTCCATCACCCACATCTGCTGTCTGTGCTGGTCCAACAAACTGGTCTCTCCTTACATTTGAATGCATTTCTGTGGGGGTGGGAGGTTCATAATAGATTACGAGCATGCCATGAATTTCCAGACTGTCAGAGCCCTGGCAGCCATTCAAAGGTAACATTTTTCTACCAGAGAAAGCACGATACACACCGCAGAAACATTCCAACGGTGAATTCAGACAGTTGTGAAGCTAAACTAGACATATTCTTCTATTTGTATTTGTTTTTTTTTTTCATAGTTGCATACATTCCTCTTGTATTTCAAAGTCTCACCTTTCCAGGGTCATCTTTGGAGCGAGGCACTTTGAGAAAACACTTATTCAATGATAGATTGTGCCGTATCGAGTTCTGTAGGAGAAAACAGAGAGAGAGAGAAAGGTGGAAAGGTGAGTGAACACATAACAAAAAAAAAAAAACAATTACACAAACAAGTCTGCAGTACTTGAGTGTGGAGAACATCACTGCCAACAGCAACAAGGGCATACAACTTGTTGGCATGTATCATGTAGGTTTAGTCACAGCTCCTGTCATCGAGGTCAGCTTGTTTCAGTGGCGTGAGATCTGGCCTGCAACTGTGTCCAGATTTCACCCCACCTACCCACCCACCCACCCACACACCCACACACACACCCACACACACACCAGGAGGCAATATCTTTCATGAATGTCCAACAAACTGCATTCTGGTTGCACAACATATCAAATTCCTCGGGTGCCAAAAATAGGAGCCAGAAGGAATCCCACACTGGGATGGTTGCTGATACCAGGACCTGATATTAATTAATGCTTCAGCAAAGCTCCTGTGGGGGGGGGAGAATAAATCATGTAGATCATTCTGAAAGTTAACTCATTACAGTGTTACAAGCTACTCTACAGCAGTGAAGAGGGAGGTTTCATCCAGCTGCCTGATTGGTGAGGCGAGGTGGGCTGAAGTAGCCACGAGGGCTGGAGAACGATGCTCCAGTCCCGGGTTAACCAGCTCCACCAAGGCCCCTCAGAACCAGCTGGAGGCAGGCCAGCTCAGGGCTCCTAATGCACACGGTTCTCCACTCCACTTTATGGAGTGGTGCTGACAGATGGCCACACTAAAAAGCTGTAGGATGATCTGACGAGTTTAACGGATGCAGAAGATGAGTAGAGAGAGACAGACAGAGAGACCCCCAAGTGCAAAAGATGGGAGCTGCTTATTCAACAGTGTTATAGGCAATTATACCACAGGAGGGATGATAATGACGGCCTCGTTGTAATGCTGTCAATCTCTCTGGTTAAATCACTCTGCAGTGTGAGACTGCTCTCCAACAGAAGCTACAGAGAGGCAAACTGGCTCCAGAGTCAAAACTATTCTGGTCCTTTGCCAAAAGGGCTTATTTTTCTGTGCTTATTACCACATGAGGTATGGACTGCAGGAGAGTGGGTAATGCTGCAGGACATTTTGACAATTTAAATTTATTGTAATCCAATACAAGTGACACAAATTCAAGATAACCGTAGCTCCTGTTGTTTCTGAAGTACTATATTTGAACAGCCAACTTCTAAGACTGCAGGGCTGAGTGTTTGATACTCAAAAGATCTCGGGTGGAGTATCGCCCATATCCCTGAAAAGTGGAAATTTAAAACCATACAAATTCAAAGACAACAGCACAACATACAATAGACGGGGTAATAAGAGGCATAGATGCTTATAAGTCATGTGAGAAGCAGGCATCGTACGCCTACTCAAGAGATTATCAGGAATCAAAATGCAATTTACACAAAACAGAAGATTCTCACATTATACTGCACATTCAAATCTCAAATCAAAACCCACCTGTTCAAAACTGCTTTTAATGTGTGACCACTATTGTGTATTTTATGTTTTTAGTGTATTGCTTTTATATATGATGATTTTAATGTAAAGTGTCTTTGAGTTTTATGAAAAGCGCTATATAAATAAAATGTATTATTATTATTATTATTATAATAAACACGTGTGGTTCATCTCAATCGCATGATCAATACATCTGTCACTTGTTTTCAATTAACAATGATGAATCATCTAGTCTACTCTACGACATCACCCATCACAGGCTCCGAGAGCCTAAGGCGACATTTTTAAATGTCTCGTGTAATCTGAACCCAAAGATGTTCAATTTTAAATGATAAAAAAACACTGAAAAGGAGCAAATATTTAAATGAATTTTCATATTTGCTTTGAAACTGCAATGATTAATTGGCTGTCAATCAATTCATGTTCTGTCGATTGACTAATCAATTAATCGAAAAATAGTTTCAGCTCCGGTAGAATTTATTTTAGGAATTACACACGCACACAAAACGTTATCGACCAGTACAGCCTCCGTTACACACCAGAATACATTCGTGTAGACGTCTCAAAACCAAAATATATTTTGGTCACACTGCTATCGGATCTTCAAAACTAGATACGGAAGCACTCAGGCTTGCACTGCGATCGGAACTCTATGTGGACTGAATGTAATCCAGCCACAATATAGACACCTTAAGGTGCAGTGCTTTGACGCAGACAACGTAAATCAGATCTAAAAAGTCACACAAAACACAGACTGGCAAATTAATCTGGAGTAGTGGTGATTGTGATTGACACACAAATGGGACAACAGATCCCGCCCACCCTGAGGCTCACAGACGCTCCTCCTCATCACTAGGCCCGGCCCGACGACTTTACAAAGGCTGCAGTGACAGCACCATTAAACAGGCCTCGTCCTTTTAGCCACACTCTGTCCCCTTGCCTCATCACAGTTTCACTTCGGTTCGGATGAATAAAACAATGTGAATGCAGAATGCGATCATGTATAGCGGATGGTTACAAACAGATATGAGGCTGTCAATTTAACCAGCTACCATGCTCCTTTAAAACCCCCTGAGACATGTCCAACAAGGGGGTGTCTGAGCGGGACGGTGTGTGACGCAAGCTGTAATGTCATACACACTTAAGTACCCCTTCACCAGCCTCTGAGTGTGTGTGCCACTTGATGCAAGGCGGACAGAAGCAGCTGAACTTGCTCTATCCATTAAGGTCCTTCTGCTGGGCCTAAATCATTGATACAGTCAAGCAGCCGAGGCCTGATGCTACATTAGAAGTTTACTTTTTAATGAACTCTGCCTGCCCGCTCTCTTCTTCTCCCGACAGGCGCCTGCGACATCCCATATTGTGTCAGACAAACTCTTTCCACTGCTATGGACACATTTGAGGAGTGAAGCTAACAGGCTGTGGGTCATTTTTAGGTGAAGATGACGAACCAGAAGACAAAAGGGACTTTGAAATATTACAATGGCAGCGGGGAAAGAAAAGGAAAGAAAACACGATGACAGCGACATTCGCTTCGTTTGATAGATCGCGGTGTATTTGCTGAGTAGGAGGGAAAGGGGAAAGCAAGACAACGAACGATAGGCTGATGAAAAATTAAGGCCAATTACCGCTGCACATGTAAACAATATGTCAGTGTTTCAGCAGTAGCTCCTTAGATTTACAGTGTGAGTCCGTGTGTGTACAAAGCGTTTGGTTTAAGACAGTAGGCTATAGGTTGTGTATTCGGGGATAAGTGGATCCACAGTACAGAAGGACAGGAAGTAGGTGGAGGAGGTCAGAAGGTGTGAACAGCAATACATAAAGTGAGTCAGACAGAGCTCACTGCAGGGGTCCTGCCCAAGTGCTGCCCAGCATCTATACCTGCAACCCCCACAGAGCACTTCATATCCAACCTCAGCACAAACCTGTGTGTGTGTGCGCGTGTGTGGGATGCCTCCCACACACACACACACACACACACACACGCACACACACGCACACACACACGCACACGGGTACGTGTCTCCTAACAAATGGCGGTGATTTAACACACCAGGACAGCAGTGAAGGCGTAAGCAGCTCCGCCCTCGTTGCCCCCCCCCGCTGAGGAGTGCTGCAGCTCAGCAGAAGGACCGCCAGGGGAAAGTAGGTCAGGCTGACCTCTGCGCTCGGCGTGTCAAACGTTCAGAGTGAGCTAAAGGGACAGGCCATGTCAGAGCCCTGCTCCTCACAGCTGGGGAGGAGGAGGTAGGGACCCCGTGCACACAGTCAGGGACCCAAGGGACTGAACTCGGCATGCTGGGACAGACACACGTACGCACACGTACCGGTTATGACATAGGGACGAACACCAGCATCCCAGGGAGAGGAAGAGTCACACTGTGGTCCAACGGGAATAAGGCAATGCCCCCGTAGGTTCCTGGCCTTCCCACATCCACGCTCTAAGCAACCAAGACACACCAAGCCCACTCTTATATTTCCCACAACTGCACAAATGCAGTTGTGAGTTTACTTGAAACATTCCTGAGTGAGAGTCTGAGATGACCTAGAGGTGCTCTTAAAGTGTTAAATAGAGGGGAACTTAGATGCTGCTGGATTCGCCGTCTTTGCGATCAAAGTGTTCTCCCTCCGCACTGCAGTGTGTGGGAAAATAAGTCGTGTTAAAGGCTGTCAGGAACCAGCAGTTCAACATTACAATGACCTCCGCTGCAGGAGCTGCTCATCCAGGCAAAAAATCCAACGAAAAATTATTCAATTAAAATGTTCCAATAAAGAGCAGGTCTGGGGAGAATAAGGAAAAGGATGCACAGTTTGAAAAACACAAGAGTTGAGTTAGTTTAGGCGACACTGTGTACCCAATCACAGTCTTCTCACATTTACAATGAAATAGAAGACACGGTGCACCGCGGGGCTTTTAGAGTGACAAAAGCAGCCATGTAAAAGAATATTGTACAGGCCTGTGTTGCCACATCTAATATGCTGTATGGCATGTCTGCAGAGGAGTGAAGAATGAAGAATCAGAAGAAGCCAACATTGCTGGTGCCAGCGCTTGGAGGATAGGACCTCAACCTCTAATTGACCCGTCAGCAGGTCTGAATGATGGAGGGATAGAAACGAACTGAGCCACTGCCCGAGATAGACGATTCAGATCCGTTTGAAAAAATACAGAAATAAGATCTGTTGGATGGATGAATGGTGAGACGGAGAGAAAGAACTGGTCTTTGAGTGGGTAAGTTGCACGAGTGAATGAACAAGTGAAGCAACAGCCAAACAAATGGAAAGAACGACGGACCAACACAAAGAGCTACGAGCCGGTCGTGTGTGAACACAGAGCACAGGTATCTCCATCCATCTCTAAAAAGAGGGAGCAGTGTGAAAATGATTTCATGCGAGGGAGGAAGCCTGTCCGGCATGACAAAGCCGTTCCTGCTGCACGCTAGAAGAATGCAGCATTTCATCTTTAAATAACATTAGATTTTTATTGTTCTTATAGATTATTAAATTAAGTTATTTTTCCAAACATTCTTTGGTTTCAGCTTCC